GAATAAAATTTGAAAAAAATAATAATAATATCTGGATGAACCCTCCTGCTGCCTTTTGGTCAAAACCTTTTTTTTAAATCCAAGCAAGAGATTTAAACACACATAATAAATATAGAAAAAACACAATATGGATAGAAATATTCAGTATTCATCTGTATTCTTCAGTTGATGTGTAAATGTCACACAAAAAACAATTCTTCCTTAACAATGATGCTGCCATCACCATGGTTGGAAAGATGACGTTAAGATGTCTCCTTACAACTATTGCAGGGAAATATTTGTTTAATCAGATATAAAGATTTTTTTGTAAGTCTTTGCTCAGGTGCCTTCATGTAAAMATCCTTGGGGTTTAATGCAGTGATGAGGGGCCTTTTGTACAATGCATCAGTAWCAAACAGTGCTGACTTTTTGTAAGGTTGTCTCATCACCTCAAATAGACTTATTTATCTATGTTCAAACCAAAAGCCTTTTGATATTTTTAAGCCTATTTATTACCCATTTATCAGCATCACATTCATGTAATTAAAGATGAGAACTGCAATTTTTCAAAGYACCAACATGAAAGCCTGGGAAAATGCTGTAAAATAATATTTTGCTAAAGCTGTGCATGGAGCAACTCCTTACATTTTCAATGGTTGTAWTCATAAGAGGGTGCAAGATACAATCTTAAATCAGAGAAAACAGAAGGCTGTTTGTGAATGTGGGATTTYGTTCAGTGACTACTAAGAGGCACAATTACATTTTTTAGTCACACAAATGGTTTAAATGCTACAGCTTCAGAGGATATATATGAGAATTACATTAAACGTCAGACATCTTAATCAAACTGCTGTGACAAAAATGTATTATTGTTAAAGTCAAGTYGCTGAAATTCTAAAAAAAGATAAAAACTCTGAAGTCGATTGGTGAAAAACAAATTGGACTGGAAAATCAATGTTCCAAGATGAACTTWTAGAAATTGTTTGACTTTAATGTCTTGTATAAAAACTCATGTGGAAGCCTAAATGAGATGTTGTGTTTGATTATCATAACTAAAAAAGAGAAACGCTGACATGAACTGAGATTAAAGCTGAGTACAATTTTTTTTTAGTTCAGTCAGTCCACAAAATCATTTTTAAAYTTCAGTTTTAGATGATTTCTGTAAMAAAGGGTGTGTTYGTTTYACAGTCTGAGTCAGAGATTGATGGYTATCTTTTAATATTCACAAATGTTTTTGAAAAACAAACAGAACAAAGTTGCGTTGGACAGAAATGTTTATTCACGGTTTAACTCCAACATGGATTATGTGTCACTCAGACCTCAGCCTTCAGTATTATTCTGCTGGATAATTCATATTTTGTGTGTTAGCAGCTTAAAAACCTTGTTGTGGAAACATTAGGGTGAACGCTGAACTCCAGTGTCTCAAGATGGGAATCTGGAGTCAAAAAAAGCTGCCAATTAAATCAATGGGTGTTTTTAAAGAATAGATTATTAATCCCGGGGTAAAAGATAACTAAATATTGCCTGATGTTTGCAGTTTAGCACAATTTAATTATAAAAAACATTTAAAACAGAAGAATAACTGAATGGTTTCAACTTATATTAGCATATATCACACTGGCTTTGCGTATCCCATTACGTTTTCAGCAGCACCAGGTTGTATTTCAGGCTTTTGGTGAAATGTCTGAGCAGTACTTCGACAAACCACAAAAAAGTTCTGGTGCTCAGAGAAAAAGAAAAGTTTTAAGCTTTTTTTTTTTTTTGATTCATCAGACTCTTGCTGGAACATTTAGGGGGTCAACATTTGAAATATTCACGCTTTTTTTTTTTTTTTGTAAAATCATCCTTTGTTCATATTAATATAGAAAGATCAGTTTTACAAATGTGCCTAATTGATCGTCTGAGCCTCTAGAGTTGATGCAACAGTGGTATCTGCTTTAAAAATGAGTAAGAAACATTTGTTTTTCTCCCTGAAAACCTACCTAATCACCAAAATGATGTGAGCTATGATACAAATATCCACAGGAAAAAAACTACTTCTAGAAAACAAACAAACAAACAAAAACAATATGTATATATTTATATATAAAACCTTAAGATGTTTTGATAGTGTAAAAATTGTACAGTTTTATCACCAGATAATGTTCAAATTCTTCCTTTACAACTTAATCTAAAYGATGCACAGACTAAAATGCTGGAGGTGCTGGATGGTGGACCATATCAGGGGCCCTGACATGCAGGCTGAATGAATTGTCCTCCATCTCAAAGCTCCTGGTGGATTTTCTTTGCTTTAGTTAAAGTGTTAGAAGAKCTTAAAAAGTGACAATTCCAAACCCCCTGAAAAACAGACAAAAAAGCTGTTTTAATCTGTAATCATGATTCAGGATTAGCCGGAGGAGCTGACAGCTGAGCTCTTACCTGACAGAACCGATCAGTTCCAGTTCTCCTGTCCGCTGTGGAGAAATAATAAAAATAAAAATCAGCTGAAGGGTGACAAACAAGGACATTTCAAAACAAATAGACATTTTGCCCKTTATGTAACCGGACTAACAGTCAGGTCCATCTACACAATTCTCATCTTTTTGGCTGTAAACACCACCGTGATGGATTTGAAATAAAATGAATAAGATGCGCTTAAACTGCAGACTTTTAGTACAAATCACAACAGTTTGTAGATTTAAGGGATCAAAAGTTATGGGACAAATGAAATATTTTAAATCAAATTTGTCTCAATGTTTTATTTTATTTATTTTTGGTTGAGGTCAGGAAAACAACAACAAACAACAACAAATTTTCCCAAAGAAAGCCTGACTTCTTTAACTCTCGGATGGCCTTGTAGGAAAATAATCAAACACACTTTTATTTTGATTTGTGGTTKTATTTATTAAATTTTTTTAGACAAAAGTTAATGAAGATACAATGTCTATCTCAGCAGCATGAGGGGAAATAATAATAACAAAAAAGATAAAAATGATGATGGTTGATGAACAGGTTGTTTCGAAATGAGACGGTTGGTGGACGGTTCTCACTGGTCATCAATACCTCTACAAAGAAGGGAGATCCTGAAGGTCACCAGTCGCTTGGTGGTGCAGAGGCCCGAGGGAACCAGTTCAGAGTGTCATTGTAAGGAGAGCTGAACACGCACACACACATACACAAGGGGAATTCTTTATACATTTGTGGTAATTTCCCTTTMATTAATCTCCAGCCTGTCTACAGACAGAACTTCCCTCATTAGCACCGCAGCATGCAAGTGAGCAGATATAAGAGGTTCACCATGTTTCCAGTTATACAATAATCTTGATTACCTGTTTGAGCCCGGCTGCAACACAAGACTGAGCCAAGGCAGATGAAAAAAGACAATGCAAAAGCTCCTCTTATAGTAAGAAGAGCCAAGCCATCCACACAGAAAACAAACAAATTTGGCGTTGAAGGSTAAAAGGAAAGCCCGTGGAAAGGAGAGACGATGCTCGTGATTTGAACTGAACGTAGGTCGTTGATGATGGGAAGGAATCTGAAGCGTCCCATACCGGGAAAAGAAGGAGTAATGTGCATGAAGAGCAGAAAAACCATCACAGTGTGACAYGCCACGAGTAGGAAAAGGAAAGAACGCGAGGAGAATCAGCGAAGGAAATGAGCGATCAGTTCTGTTTTGAGTGACGTCAGAAAAAAAGATTTTGGATGATTTTGAGCAAAAAGCAACACTTCGGTCAAGGTAAAGACAAAAAATGTTTRTTTGGACTCACTCTTCAAAGACGTCCTCCGTGTCCATCCGTCTGTAGTACTTGGCCAGTTTGACRGAGAAAATGATGCTAGGGATCAGAAGGATGCAGCAACCTCCCAAACCAAACCAGAACGTGTTCTGGAAAACAAATCCATCAGGAAAATCAGATGTAAAACMTGTTAAAACACATTCTTAGAAAATACTTAAAGTTTTGTTTGTTTTATAGCTGCTAAATTAAAAACAAAAAATAAGAAAATCAATAACACTCACACACGCCATGTTCAAGTACCCTTAGACAAGATTTTAACCCTCATAGTGTTCATAATTTGCTCATCTGTGTAAATTAATGGAATGCATGTAATAAATATAATAGAAAACATTATGAATCTAAACATTAATCTAAATATGCTCACCTTTCGTTTTACTATTGATTAATTTCTGTAAATGTGTGTGTGTAATGTTGTAGCTGCTGGCTCTGATAACTGCATATAATATAACTCAACTAACATCAGCAACTGAGTGTAACTTTGTCTGCAAGAAGAGGAACATTTCATCTATTTCTTTTTTTATTCGTTAAATAAATATAATCATTAGTACGTCTTTGGTTTTAACCACTTACATAACAATTATTGTGAAGTGATACATAAAATGCATGTGTYATAAATTTCAGGGGGAGGGGTGCTCTGTGGAGCAGAAGCTCAGCTGCAGACTGAGCTCTAGGGAGGAGCTTTGTATAAATGGGCGGTGCTTTGTACCTGCCAGCGTTTAGGCAGCTCCACATGGCTACCACAGGAGATTCAAGGGTTTCTCAAACATGCACGAATGAGTCAAAGCAACACTGGGTGTTTTGATGAGCGAATGACATTATAACATGATATAAAGTGGAAAAAAAAGTCAATTTTGCATAATGACCCCCGCCCCCAAATGTATGTTGTGTAATAGGTTTGGCTTCCATCCCAAGGTTATAATAGTTTTGGATTTTTCATTATAGTTAAGTTTAATTTTGCTTTGACTCTGTCTTTGAATTTAGTTAATTTTAATTAGTTTTTACAGTGGATTTGATATTTTTATTAGTTATTACTGCATTTTTAATACTTAGTTTTAGTTTAGTTTAGTTTTTATTAGTTCTAGTATTAGTTTTCTTATTGTTTGAAAAAATGTATTTGCCAATGCATCCTCCTGCTTGTGGTGTTTCTGAGTTAACTAACCAGCAGCCAAGAATGTAGGAATGAGCTTACTATTGAGGGGGACACAAAATATTGGCAATCTGACAGATGTGTACATAGCCTGAAGAGAAATATGTCATAAATTAACTGTACACTGCAAAGCATTCACAAAATGCTATTGGATCTTTTCTTGGAAAAATGGTGAGGTGGTAGAACCACCTTACAAAATATCTCGAGTCTAATAGGATATTTCACTAATTTCAGACCTCACATGAACTTCCCGTCCCTCAACATTTTATTGCTTCAAATGTCTCACTACTTTATGTACTACCAYAATTCTCCTGATAAGACATTATTGCACATAATATCTAATATAACGTCATGCATATTGATAAACTATGATCAGGTGTTGCCCTTGTGTTGTGTAACTGTTACTCACTGGTGTTAYTCTRAAAAACAAAAACAACAACAACAAATAAGTCCTGCTGCTGCTGTTTCAGGCTTTTATGCTGGTGGTGGCTTTGTGCTGGAATGCGCCTGTCTCCAATATTGTGGGGGATACGTCCCAGTCTCCTACGTCTATATCAGCAACTATTTGGTCACCAGTGAAAGCAATCCATTAAAGCAACACCTTCCTAACATAATCACGTTTTGCCAACAAAGAACTTGGGTGATAATTTTAGGAAGGTGACAATAGTTGTCTCCATCCTGGCACTACCTGGCTGCTGAGAGCTTCTCAAAGGCGCTAGCTCGTCAAGATACTCACAGTTAGCCGTCTTGGGTGTGCTTGATTGCGTTTTTTCCCCTTGGGGCATATTCCACCAATTTTATCACCTTTTTCCACAAGACACTTGCTTTTATTTTTCTTTCAGTCATGATATAAGAAATCCCAAATTAGACTTTATCGCTTTCTCCCAACTTTTGTTGTCGTCATGTTGCAGACGAGCGCCGAGCAGCAGCAGATTGTAAACAAATGACGTTATGGGCCATGAGGTGCCGTAAGCTGCCTGCAGCTAATACGAAACCGCTCAGCTCGATTTAAAAAAATAAATAAATAACTGTTTAATCAGTCCAAACGGCTTAAAATAAATTGACAAAAACTAAAACTAAGGATATTCTGTCGATAATTTCAGTTGGTTTTGGTTAGTTTTGTAAAAAGATAATGCAGTTTCAGTTATTATTTTTTTATTTTGTTTTAGTTTTTATTTATTTCAGTTAACTAAAATGTTTTTTTAAATTTTAGTTTCCGTTATTTTGTTAGTTTTAGTTAACTATAATAACCCTGTTYCATCCACAGACACGCAAGGCACATRCAAGGCACACAGCTGGGRAATAAATGAATGAACACACASCACAAACACACACCCAACGCCACGTCTTACCACTGAGTCWACTATGAAGCTGCAGGCTACGATCTCTATGCTGTCCACAAGGTTRCTGATWGGTTTACACTGAGCCACCTCCGCTGTTAGCTGCAAGTAAAAACATTTTGATAAATAAATTTTAATTTATACATGGTGTCTAGTTTTAAAAAAATCACTATGTTATGTTAAAAGTAAGGGTATATCTATGCCCTAAAAATTTTAACATTTAATTGAAGCAGACCAGACTGTCAGCATGACTGTACAGTCAGTTTAGAGTTAACACTGTTCCTTTGTGCACCGATTCCACTCTGAACCAACTGGAAGGTGAGCCATGACCTGCAAAAAACTAGAAAACTTGGAAAATACTCACAGAGTTTTTAACCCACTGTGTGTACTGTCGGAAGTATCCCACCAAACTCTGCACAAAGCTCTTTGTTTCCTACGAACCAACACAGAAAGATTAGCTTTTACACCTCATACAAATAAAAAGAGCAATTTTTAGTCAGGCAATAATCACTATATTTAAAAAGTAACTAAAAACTATTGACGTAAATCATTTTAACTCTTGAAAAAGAAGTATCTTTTTATTGGGAGACATTTCTGTTGACAATTTTTGTGCAGTTTTGCGAAGCCAATTTTAGACACATTTATTAATCTTGTAGCTTTTTACCTGTTTTACTACAAAAGAGGCATTATTAAGAATGAGATACTCTGCAGCATCAATGGCACTCAAGATGTTTGCCACTTTGACCTGAAAAAAATAAAATAAAATAAAAAAACAGCCGAACACGTCATTTAGAATAAACGTAGTCAAGTCAAAAGTAAAAAATAAAAACAACACTCACTGGCAGGTCGGTGGAGGTCTTCTGCAGCTGTTTGATGCTCTGACTCAGAGTGCTCTGAAGACAAAAACACAAACTGTTACCCAGGTTTTTACTAACATGTTTGAGAGAAAATCCATCCACGAATACTCCATCGAACACGTGAACGCCTTTACAGCAAACACACACACGCACAAGACACCATCACAGAGCTGCASGTCTGCAGCAGCTTACCCGCGCCCGAACATATTTCTGTCACCGTTTTAGGAAAGATATGATGGGGGGGAAATGGGACATGGGCAGAATAAGCAAAAGAAAAAAAACGACTACAATAGAAATGTGTTCAATCGACAATGAGTCAAAATGTTTGCTTTTTATTAAATCCTACATGTTTGAGATGTACAACAATTATAAGTGACTTTATGTTTATGGTTGTTTATGTGGTAACAGTTACCATCGCTTGCTCCAGAGGCACCACATGTTCTCTGTGGATGAACCTGATGCTGCTGGCGTGTCCTTTCAGCGCATTTTCCAGAGCGCCTCGCGGCTGAAAACACATGAAAACATTTAATGATTTCAATCAAYGTGCAGAAGCTGAAAATCTGAAGTTTTATTTGTAAGAGTGGTTAGCACTGATGCCTCACAGCCATAAGGGCCTGGGTTCGATCCCCGGTTCAGACCTGGGGTCTGTCTGTGSGGAGTTTGCATGTTCTCCTCATGCTTGCGTGGGTTTTTACCGGGCACTCTTGTTCCCCCCACCCCCAAAAACATGTACAATAGGTTGCCTTCAGGCCCAGACCTCCTTTGAAAAAGAGATCCGTGATCTCAATTGCCTGGTTAAATAACAATAAATACATATTTACAGTAAATGCTCTTTGATCTCATCTTCTATGTTGTTATTTTTACTGTTTTATTCATGGTTCAATAAAATAGATTCTTGCTATATTTTTGTAATAAATTACCATTGGCCTGAGAAAGGAATTCGCTCTTGCATCMTATGAATCTCACTTCTGATTAAAAAGAGTTAATAAATATTGGTCAATAACTGACCTGCTGCCCCAACTTGGTGTAGTGCAGAATAGTTGCCACCCTTTCTGTTTCTCTCCAAACAACTCGTTACACTAACCAAAATCTGCCTCAGCAAATTTTGCTCTATTTTTGTTTTCTTATGCTAACTTTAGCATTTAGCTTGCCTTCTGCTACTTTTGTTAGTTTCTAGTCAGCATTGTCCCTTTTAGCTAGCCTTTGAGTACTTTTGGCATTCTGATACTTTTTCTAGTTGCAAGTTTTAGCTTCTAGATAACTTTTGCTACCTTTTTTTGGCTTAAATAACTCAGATTCAAGCTTCTCCAGCACGTTCCAGCTGAATCATTTAGCATTCATTAATCACACTGTATTTCCTCAGAAGATGTCGTTTTAATCCTGGGCTCCAACAAATCGAATCTAAATAAATATTACCAAGCTGTTTTTTTTTTCCTGTCTTCTGTAGAAACAGAAACATGCTTGTGACATTTAAAAAGGGAAAACTTCTAGCAGAGCTGAGTGGTACCATGACTGGGTTTATGTGTTCTGGGTGAATGAGCTGCTTGTTTAAACCAAAGAGACCTTTTTTTTTCAGACAGGATGTTTGACTGTATTTTGTGGATTTGAAGGTTTTCAAAGTTTTGGCACTCTTAAAAAAGACTTTAACAGGTGTGTACATTTTACATAAATGAGCATTAAACACACAAAAAGAAGCCACAGGAGGCATTTATGTTTTGAAGAAAGATTAAATGAATTTTTGTCATGTTTGGTACTTTTTTCTTGCATAAACCTAAAACATCCACATTAGCTGCAATCAAATGATCAGCCTAAAAAGTGAAATATGGAGACAATAAGTGTGAGGTAGCTCRCAAGATTACTTAAATACTAATAATGATGACGACATCAACTTTTTATTGTTTTTAATAGTTTAYTGGAAATCATTACATTGTATTAGTTTGTTATGCTAAAGAAAATGTTTCTTTTGCATGTAACATGTTTTCTTTTAATAATATAAACCATCTTGTGATTGGTTTAATCAGTTTGATTAAAAATAACTGGACTCACCAGTTGGTCGGCCCTCTCCTCCAGGTCAGAACAGAAGGACAGCAGATCCACGATGGTCATCCCCTTATTCAGCTACAAAAAAAGAGGCTTTTATTAACCAAGCAACCATGGACATTAAAATATTTCTTTGGGCTTATGTTTTCGCGTAAATTTTTACAGTAAGTTTATCAAAAAAAGGGGAGAGAAAAACACAACCAAAAACAATAAATAAGTTAACTTTGCAAAGTTTTTTCTGATTTGAAATACTTGTACACTCAAAAAAACAGATGTTGTAGATTTCATAAAAAAATGTGTCAACTGGTTCCACTCAACTGAACTAAGTAAAGGTAACGTATTTACTTCACATTTACTTAAAATAAACGTAATGTAAATATGATGTGGAACCAGCTGACATAATATTTTAAAGTAAATCCACTACATCTGTTTGTTGAGAGTAATATTCATAAAAATTATATAATAAAAGGTATTTTCTGAGCCAAACAGGGGATSACACACACTCTTAGACACACCTCAGCAAGATAAGCAGGATAGTCGATATCTCCGACTCCAGAGTTGGCAAAGTTGATGAGGTTGTCTCTGCCGGCCTGCTCCAGCAGCGCCACATCCTTCAGGTCCACCTGCACGCCATCAAACACTTTGGCCAGATCTTTGTTGTACTGTTGTAAAAGAGACTGTTATTAATCGTCCTGCGCCATCGGTGCATCTTCAACAGAGCTACAGGGTGACGTGACACTGACCACAGTTCTGTTCAGGAAAGAGTTAATGTTGAAGATGTTCTCCAGCTGCAGAGCGTGATACAGACCGTTGTTGTCGTGGCATTCCCTGTCAAATAAACTKCATGATCAYCTCCGCAAAGTATCATTTTGCAAAAGGTTAGCTATTAAATAAAGCTTTAAATGTCAGCTTGTTAAGACGAAATGAGTCAAATAAAATGTGATTATTATGTACCTGTACATGGTACCTAGTGTCAAGTCGATGTTTGGATTCTGAAACAGCATCCCAGGAAGGAAATTCCTCTTTTCAGGATGAATCAGGAACGGTGTGTCGATGATCTGGATGTATGTCAACATTTAAAGGTTTTAGTCCATTTTTGCAACACTATAAACATATTTAGGAAGAGGCAGAGAGGGGAAAAGGTTTGTAAAAGAAGTTTTTTTGTTTAATTACCCTGAACAGCTGTCGGTTAGCCAGAGGTTCACACATCAGCTTCTCCACGTTTCCTCCAACAACAAACAGGGTCGTCACGAGGCCCATTAGGACCCAGGCGAAGATAAACGAGAAACCCACCCCACTGAAAAACACAGGAGAAGTTGATAGCAAAACACATTTAAAAGAAGTCATCCTAAAAAAAGAGAAAAAAAKGAAAAAAAGGAAAAAGTAGAAGTCATCCTTATTTTCTGCTTTCTTTCAGCTGTTAAAGCTTCATTTGTTTTGAGTTTTCTTATCCATCTCATGTTCTATGAGTCTAATGTTAGTAGGCAAAAGCAAAAACTAATTATTGTATTTATTCATGTATAATACTAGAAATTCAACCCTAAAAATCATCCATAAAGTGTGTGTGTGGGGGGGGGGTAGTATTATACACGGATTATTGCTAATTACATTTTTAATGCTTTTTAAGCTCAAAAAGCATTTTTGAGCTTAAAAAGTTACTGTATAGTTACTGTATTATTACATTTATACATGAATAAATACAGTAACTATAATTTTGAAATAAAAGTAAACTTTAAGCATCTTCGTACAAAGAAGCAGTGCTTTGTACCAGCCCGTTTAGCTCCACATGGCTACCACAGGAGATTCAAGGATTTCTCAAACGCACGAATGAGTCAAAGCCACAGTCTGGGTATGTTTTTGATAGCCTCCCCCCAACATTTTTTTTTATTTAATGAGGTAAATCCCAGCTCTTCTGAAGGTAGTCTAAACATGAATGTTTTTGGACTGTGGGAGAAAACTGGAGAGAAAACCCACAGAAAACCCACATAAACATGAGAAGAGCATGAAAAGTCCACAGAAAAAGACCCCCCAAACTGGTGTTCAAACCCAGGACTTTCTTKCTGTGAGGCAGCAGTGCAAACCACTAATCCACCGTGCTGCCATATGATCTATCAAGAATAGAATATAGGTGAAAAGAAAAAAAAAGGAAATTTTGATCGTAGAGTAACGTACGCCATCAGCAGGTTTCCTCCGGTGTTGGACAAGCAGCCGCGGGTTGTGGGGGTAGCTTGCTTGTCGTATCCACAGGAGCCACAGAGCAGGCCGAGCACGTTGAACGCCAGAACCAGGACGACGGAGCAGAGCACTGCCACACACCCAATCCACCTGCAGCACACACACACAAGGGTTTACAAAAACTGACCTTGCTTTATTTCTTAATCAAGGGGCAGCTGACACAAAAAAATAAAATAGCTGAGCAGCTCCCTGCGTGCTTGAATGAAAATACTACATGTACACAAACCTGTAGAAATCCATTTGGTCAATCTGGGGGTAAAGTGACTCAATGCGATTGTGTCGCTCGTTGAGAAAAATGGTGAAATTGRCGAGAGAGGCTTCCACTGGGAACATCTTGGAGAAGGCCGTTATTTCACTGCCGATCTTGTCCAGCATTCCTTTTACTCCTACAGATGAACACACATACACAGACCTTAGAAACCAAAAACAAGTGAAGAGACACACATTTCCAACTCAACTAGAACGCAAACACATTCTAATCCAGTGAGAACAGGGGATCTGATCTTTTCCTAACCTTTTATGYTTTGCAAAATGCTGAAAAGAAAGAGCTCAACGTGATGGCTGAGGAACCGTAGAGTTCAATACTCAGATAAAGTTTGCATCAACATGGAGGAATTATGAACTTGCCACTTTTCCAGCATTGTGCTACTATTTTTTTTTATTTTGTAAGTGTGCAAATCTGTGACTWTGTCTATAAAAACCTCCTCCTGCACCACCTGTGAGCTCCCTCCCCAGACCTGGAGCCCTGGCTAGGAACCACAGCTAGACAARGTTTAGAAAAAGACTTACGAGGCAGCGCTGTGTTGCATGTAAATGAGAAGAGAAAGATGATGAAAGTTAGAACCACGAGTCACTCTGAACTCACAAAGCGGCTTTAATTATACAGCCCACACGCTTTGGAGTACCTGACACAATGTTTTTGGTTTGATCTTTAACCAGCACCGGTGTGTCGTTAAAAGACGCATAACCCTACAGGGGAAAACAAGGATGTAAACAATCAGATTCAGATTGGAACAGGAAGTGGTTCACTGTGAAGCAGGAGAAACAAAAAGCTGGACTCGCACTGACTTTTTGAACAATGTTACTGAGGTCCACTTTCAGAACGGTATTGACGTTAGCCAAGGCGTTTCCAACATTTGGGAGCTGATGGAGAGAAACAAAGACAGAAAATGRCGATGAAGCTTTATTTTATGCCCATCTTGTGATTCCATCCTGCCTCATTACCTTGGAGAAGTCAGCGTTGACTCCCAGCTGAGGCAGGATGGAGCGGATATTGTTGCAGGTTTGGGACACGGCTCCGTTGGTGCATGCTGGGTCTGACAGGGTGTTGGACAGAGAGGCACGCTCCCCTGCCAGACTGGCCTGAAGTTTTCCCATCCCCTCCTGAAGGATCTCCAACGAGGAACTGACATTCTCCAGGGCCTCCTTGGTCTCCCGCATGGCTACAATCCACAAAAGATTATCAGAATTATAGATATGTTGTTGTTTTAACACAATAATGTGCTGAATTCAYGCTGAGTAAACAACCACTGAGGACAAGCACGGCAACAGGAAACACACAGATGAGCACGTTTCTAAACCATTCCACAGAAACATCGACACAATCACGGCACCACTGAACCCAGATCAGCCAAGTTTACCTTTGATAGCACTCTCAACTTTTGCTTTAGATCAAAAATAAGAAAGTCATGAAACAAAGAAAATATCAAATGAGGTAAGGATTTCAGGTTAAAACACAAGTTCAGTTTTTGAGCAGAAACATCTGAGTTACGTTATTAGTTATGTTTGTTGGAACATTTAAAGCGGACGTGCATTATTTTGTCCTCAAAACTGGACAGACTGTTTGACCATTAATTAGGCAAGGTTTATATTTCAAAATAAGCTGCACTGCAATTAAAAAATGAAAAGCCGATTTGATGAATGTGTTACCTCCTGCCATGAGAAGGGCAGCATCCAGAGCAGGAACCACCTCTTTCTCTAGATTGCTGTGGATCCGAGCACCGAGTAGAGGTCCGATGTCTGTAAGGCAGCGTAGACATTTAATGTGTAACAGCCCAGTTAGAAAAAATACTTTGAAATTAAAAATAAAGATCCAGTTCTTCTGCTTACTGTCTAGGTCTGACAGGACTTTGTTCTTTGCAGTGGTGTACTGAGCTGTCAGGTACTCAATTTGCTGTAGAGCAAAACCACACAATGACATTGGACACCAACTTCGTTTTGAATGTTTTCCATAGAAGTACTTGTAGCACATTGACACTAGGGGGGCATACCGCAGGGGTGTTGTTAGCAAACAACTTCAGGTCCCTCATGTTGGTGTTTATGAGCCGTCGGGTGCTTTTAATCTGGGATGTGATGTTGTGATTGGCGGCGTAGGCGATGAATACTCCCACACTGAAACAAACACAGTCAGGATCAGAGAGATGAGACGTAGTGACCAATGTTCACCACTGAGGGGCAGCATTGCTACAAAAGCGTTTGATTTATCAGGACACAATGTTATTAAGAGAATTCAACCAAGACTGCATAAAAAAACTTGCAAAAATAAAGAAATACAAAAGGACAAGGATTTGAATATCTATTAAAAATGTTTATGCATCGCTACTTATTAAACATCCACTTTATCAACCAAACGAATGATCTGAAATATGAGCTGTTAAATAAAACTCAAATTTATGCAATACTTTGYTTCTCATTAAACTGGGACAAAAAGAAAGAAAGTTGGAAAGAAACGAAGACTATAAAATAAAAAAAATCTGCTGTGAGAGAGAATAATGAGGAAAGACACAGGGCTTAGACTGTGTGTTTGTGTGAACAGGAGGATGAATGTTTGTGATGTGAAAGGACTCATTCAGACAGACGGGCCTCTCCCAGTCAGCCAGGTGATATCAGTGACTCCTGACTGTCCCGTACAGTCTCTGGATCCTGTTTCTGTGCACAGGTGTGCTGCACTCTTTATATCAGCTTAGTAGGAAATAATGTTAAATTCMACCTACTTATTTACACACATTAAGGATCATTTTCCAAATATTACTCCTCACTACATCCTAACAATCATATCATTAGTTTCGTTTGAGGATTTTACTGCTTTTAATGAMAATTATTTTTTACTTTAAATTATTTAGCTATTTTAAAAGGAATAAAGAAACTTGACTGGCATTCAACAGCATGACTGTGCTTTTTAAATCTTCTACAATATTTTGTTTGTTTGACTGATAAATCAGCATTTTAACCTGATTCAAGTATTTGTTTATTGCTTCTGGTTATTTTACYTTCCTCAGCATCGAAAGTCAGACAACTTTGAGCATTCACTCTGTAAACGTGACCTTTCATCAACCAGTAAATTGACTAAAAAATTACACTGTTATAGACTGGTGTCCAGTGTTCATTGTGAGCTGGAGTTCAAACATTCAGGTTGGCACAAGGCCTTTTTTTAAACACGATATATTTAAAAACATTTCTATCTAAATTTTTCTGTCTATCCAACAATTATGATACAAGTTAGGATAARAACAAACAATTACAGTCAAGGCAAATAATGGATTTTCATGGTATTTCACAATCAAAGACTTGACGTTTAAAACCCTGCAATACTTACWATGTATTAACAATTTACTATGGTAAATTGTTCATATTTTTGTGGTGAACCTTATAATATAAAGTAAGTGCTTCTTAACATAACAAGTTTAGGTAACATAAGTAAGCRCTGATAGAACCAAAAGTCATGTTTCTGCATGTCCAAATGCTTAGCTGGGCAAAACCCCACTTTTACAGCCACAAATAGGCWCTTTTATCAGTAATTATCATTTGAATAAAAGCTTGTTAACCTTTTGGCAGGAAGTCTGTCTTGGGTTGTGTGTTTTTTTCTTTGTTATTTGTGAATCTTATTTAAAAGAACCTTCATTGCATTTATTTATTTATTTTGAGTATATAAAGTTAGCACAAAAAGTGAGGACAATTCTGTTTGTTGGATTATTTCTTTGTAACAATGCTTCTTGAAAATTATTCTTATACCGTTGAAAAGTCTGTTAACTTCCCTTTTAAATGGTGCCAGATTTGTAAGGAATGTGCATTTGTGGGATGAGCAGTAGAGTGGAGTATGTGGGTTGCACACACAAAAAAATTGCCAATTTTCTCTATCAAACAGCTGTAACATTCTTTTTTACTCTTGTTTTGAGCTTCTGGTACCCCTAGGTGCTGATAATCATAAGATTTATTGCCAAGAASCRTTGTTRCAACAAATAAATAATCTAACAAACAAATTTGCTCTGTGCTGGGGTCTATGACTTCAAGACCCGGGGCACCTGTTCTCTTATGTTTGTTATGTTCTATCTTCTTTTGAATGGTTGTTTTGAACTGTAATTTCATTGTGCTCTGTACAATGACAATAAAGGTTTATCTTATCTTATCTTATCTTATCTTATCTTATCTTATCTTATCTTATCTTATCTTATCTTATCTTCATATACCTACTTTTTCTGCAGAGTATATGTGTTATCCTCATTAGGATGCATTCATTTTAAAAGACACAACTAAAAGCAGTTTTGTTAAAAGTTTCTTCACTCGTCTTCTCACCGATGAAACTGTAAAGCCTGATAACGACAGGAAAAGGACGGATGATGACTCACATGATGAAGATGGTGGTGGTGACGAGCGAGGCAGTGAAGAAGCCTCTGTGACAGTCGGCGTTCTTCCGCTGCCTCTGATGCATCTCGCCTCCGCAGTTGTCGCAGCATCGACACATGCAGAAGCACGCGGCGATGATGGGCGTGAAGACCACAAACACGATGCCGGTGATGGCGCATATTAGGAACCCGGCCTCGTAATGGAGCCACTGAACGTGCGGAGTGAAACCGTCAATCAGTGCCTACTCGCTCTACCTCTTATTTCTGCACCTTCTGAAATGTYAGTGATGTGAGGGGTTTTACCTGTAGCAACAGGACRACGTTTTCTGGCTGTGGCACCAAAGTATGGTCGTACAGAACCATGTTGGTGAGAAAAACAAACCCCAAAAAACAGGATGAGCGTGACAGCAGACATGTTTAATTATGAGCTCCAATGTTCAAACAAAAAAAAGTCTCTTTTAGAACAAACATACCTTTCTCCATTCTTCTATTTTGAGTCCTCCCATGTTTTGCTTAATGACTTTTACAATAAGATCTGAAAAGCACATGAACATTTATGTAAGGCGAGCGCAGAAACAACAAAAAGAAGTGTGGCAGTGATTTACACAGGGTGTAGAGCAGTGGTCCCCAAACTACGGCCCACCTCCCCATTTGGTCCGGCCCCCAGAACAATACCAGAGAGCATTTAGGTTTTTTTTTCATATATGTGTATTTGTATTTGATTATAAAGTTGGACTTTTGCAATAAAATGTTCCTTAGTTATGAACTATTTTCATTTTTAACTATTATTAGTTAGTAACTATTTCATACATACACGCATATAACGTGACATTCTGTTCCACCCTTCTGCGGTCTGTGCCCCTATCTGGCAACCCCCAGAAAAAAATCCTAAACCCGCCCCTCTCAAAGAGAGAATGGAATAATGGTGAAAAGATTAGGTAAGAGAAAAATTAATTTAGAATGCAGGACATTTAAGCTGCAGTGGACAAACGATTATTTTTTTGTTCATCTGTCAAGAGGCGGTGGCGGTATTCAAAGAATACAATCTGCGGCGACACTATGAATCCCGTCACAAAGACAAGCATGATAGCTTGCAAGGCCAAATGCGAGCAAACAAACTCTCAAAGCTAAAAAGTGGACTGTTAGCTCAGCAGAATACATACTGTGAAGAACCCAGAGAGGGTTATTTGATTGTGCTTTCTGGAAAACAATACATTTTTACATTTAGGCACACCTGCAATAGTCACACTTTTTCTGTTACAAAYTGACTCCGGCCCCCCACCAGAAGTTATGTGGCCCTTACAGAGAAAAGTTTGGGGACCCCTGGTGTRGAGGGTGACGAGCAGCACAGGAGTGAAATCTATTTAGGAGTTCACTAACAGAGAGATTTTAACAGAGATTACGAGGAATCCGTTTTTAATATCCGAGGACAGTATTGTGACGGAGGGTTCCTTTTACATCTAACAGCTGGGAGTTTGGCAGGAGCCGTTTGAACCGTGTCAGCTTGCCAACGAGGACTTCGGTCCGGTCCAGATGTCTGGGTGTTCCCTGTATGTAGGTCAGCCAACACTAAAGCCTACCTGCGCGGTGACTCACCCCGGCTGTTACTCAGCAGGTAAACACCGAGTCCTTCACACATACTGTATGCTTCCAATGGGATGTACACACACCCTCACACACATCACACGTATGATTATCTGACAGCATCTGCACAAAATAATRATGAGCAAATTAATTTAATTTGGAACGCACTTTTAATTAGCAAAAATCTCAAAGTGCTACAGAACTGCAAAACATGGGAAATAAAACTAGTAAAATAAAAAAAAACTAACGAACAAAAACACACTAATAAAAATAACAGCCTAAGCTCCACTTTCAAAGTATCTAAAACCAGTGATAACATCATGCAGAGGCAAAATATGARTACATACAATACTGTACGTTTGGTGCTTTGTCGGGGGCAAAATATTGAATATTTAAGTCTATTCTCACGTGTAAATGTTTCAAACCACCTCAAAAATCAGYTGAAGTTCAACAAAAACCATTGAAAACACTGATCAGCATAACTTGTTTTTCATCTTTTCTTGTTATTCCATATTCTATGGTGAGCTGTTTGATTCAATGTCTTCAGTAATGACTGTTGCTCGCTTGGACTCTCTCATGCTTGATAACACTCTATGGTCTGATGTGTACTTATTTTATCCTCTTATCAGAAACTTTGTTAGCTGACAGTGTTTCGATTGTTCTGTCTTGTGGATTTTTGTTTTTGATGTTTTTGTTTGATTTTTGTTTCTTTTTTTTCCTTGATGTTTCGTCTTCTATTTTGGCTGTTTTATTCTTGAAAATCATAAATAAATGTTAAAAAAAAACACTGATCAACAAAACATTAACAGATTGCAATAAAGTATGGCTCCTTAGTAGAAGACACCCCACCCCCACACACCACCACCACCTAAAAAAWATAATAATAATTATTGCCTATATTGCCCACTGCCTTTCATGCCACAGTTTTAACCAAAAAATTATAAAAAGTAGCATAGTTGTTGCCATTTTGGTAAGACCTTGTAAACAACATTATGAGTGATCGCAAATGATATTTTGAGATCCTGTAAGCTGTGTTCAGGATGACTCTCAGCTACTACCACACCAGGTGTTTGTGTGTGGGGGGGTGGGGCTGAACATTATTAATTGTGGTGGCCACCTTCTATTTGRTAACTTCAAAAGTTAATCAGTTGTAAATATTCATCATCAATCATTTTATTTACTTATTGATTTATTTGTCTTCATGTAACCAGGGAAATTACACT